CAACAGCCCTGGCTCAGCGGTTGTAAACTCAAGCCTCTGGCTTCCTTTAGGAAGTCAATCCATCTTGTATTTGGTCTTCCTCTTTTCCTGCTGCCTTCCACTTTTCCTAGCATTATTGTCTTTTCCAGAGACAGGTCAATGAATCATGGCTAGTAAGCTTTTCATGAAATATGGAGAAGAAAGGCAATCACATAAGTCCTCCTCCATGCTGGCAGGTTGTGTGCCTGTTCCTGAACTACACAATTGGTCACACAAGGGAGACCTGCCAGAATGCAGGGTGACATTTTTGCTACTCGTTTTTGCTCCAGAACAGAATACTAGACCATACATATTGCCTTTGATCAGGAGCAAGCCATTCATTCTGTTTCTGCTGCTCTTATTATCAATAAAGTCTGTAAGCATTCTTTTTTTTTTTATCCTACAGGTCCCACAATCTCCCAGCTATTGCAGAATTTTGAATTTTTGGTACAATTCTGTTTTGTTACATAGAGAAGTACAGAGTTTTACACAGGAGAATAGCTACAAGTTCCCCAGATAGTCCACACCTTTCTCATTAACTGGCACGCAAAACTTTTAAAAGCTTACTTTGAATTTTGTAGGAGGAAAAAAAAATAAAAACTTTTAATTACTCACAGTTATGAACAGATCAACAGCAATCAAACAAACTGAACACTAATTGAGGATTAATAGGAAAAAAGAAGCATTCAGCAGAGAGGGGCAATAACCATTTCAGTGTGATAGGAGGGTAATCTCTCCCTTCCCTAATATGTTTGTAATGATAAATCATATTTATTTCTCTCTTGCCTGCACAAATAATGCTTCAGAATGGATTTAATTCCTGGCTTGGCAACATCCCGATGTTTTGCACAACTCTTCCAAACAGTCATTGCTAGCGTGGTTCATAGTGAAGAACAGGAGGGGCTCTAGCTGAAAACATTTGGAGTGTCACATATCCTCTACTTTCAGCATACTCTTATTTTAAGGTATACTGCCTCTTGCTGAGGAAGGTCATTCCAGTTGCTGTTGTTTTGAATTCTTCTATGCTTAAGTGTAGGGTATAACAGATGTGCCGTTAACTTTTTTTGAACTACAAATCTTATAATTCTCCATTCTGGGAGTTCCACCTAACAGACGGACACCTACAGATACCTAAATTTGGCTCACCTGGGAGAAAGGCCTACATTGGAAGGCTTCATGGCCTACTCTAGGCCCACGTTCGCCTGTTTCCTTGTTCAAAAAGGAAGCTGCCCTAAGGTGCCGCTTAGGCCTTTCTCCCGGGTTGTCCAAGTGTAGGTGTTAGTAAGTGTCAGTTTGTCACGTGGGACTCCCAGACTGGGGAATTATCAGATGTGTAGTCCCAAAAACCCTCAAATGGTCCATCTCTAGTCATGGTTGTTCCTAAATGAATACTTCTTGGGTCTACCCCTTCTCCAGTTTAGGATGAGGTGTGATTCCATGGACATCTTCCCCCCCCTCCAGATTCATACAACCACATGACCACACCTGGGAGACAAGGAGGAATCATTGGGCACCGATGGATTACTGTGGTAACTGGGGTTTGTTCCCCTGAGCTCTTAATTTCACCTTTCTCTGATTTCTAGGGTTATGGGACAGTGTGAATGAAGGGGAAGCAGGCGGGATGCCTTCTGAAGCTGAACATGTGAAGATGGAAGGGAGCACC